GGAAATTTACCCTTGATGCATCGGTACAGGTTGAATGTGTACCGATGCACACTAGCCCAAAATTCCATTTCGTGCACGAATATTTACTCAAATCAACTCAAATGCTTCATATTTCATCCCCTTTCATGTTCTTAACTCATATACACATGCTTAAACCAATTTATATCCATATCAACCATCTTTAACTTCAAAATTATATTCCTCATATGTAACTCAAGAATTATACCAGTTTTGCAACATGTTTTAATTCCAATTCTATGGCTTCTAACTTCTTAATTAGACCCTTGACAAGTCAAATTTAACTTCTAATTTAACTTAATAACTTTCATTCAAGATTTCCTTTAAAAACTTCTAATCTTTAATCTCTCTTGACTCCTTTATCTTATGGTTTTAAGATAAATTAAGCTTTCCTTAAGCTTAGTTATCATCTAATGATCAAAACCCATTATTAAATTTGACTAAATGTCAACCAACAAGAGATCTTACCTTTGCTTATGGCTTCACGTGAAGAAGAAGAAGAAAGGAGAAGAAGAGAACTCTGGAGAAATCTCTCCTCTTCCACGTGGTTCCCTTATTTTATAAAGGGAAATAAAAAATCTTACTTGTCAATTGACCATTTTACCCTTTAATTCATTCCATAATTACTAAATAACCTTCATCATATATTTCCAATAAATCATTGAACTATTTAATTATCCTACTTTAATCACAAATTTCTAAAATTTTTCAATCTAGTCACTAACCCGATATTGAGGATATTACATATATAGTTCCCCGACTGCCAACATATAGAAGAAAAAATAGACAATCATAATGAAAGGCTCGTTGCAGGGGACGCACTTTCCCCTTTTTTTGCAAAGGATCTCTGCTATGTCATGTAAAAATCAAACTTCAATTAATTAACTTAGAAATACATGAAAATCAAACAAAAAGAAAAAGAAAGGCTCATTGCATACGTTTTCCCCTTTTTTTTTGCAGAGAATCTTTGCCATTTCATAGTCTCTCATCCCATCAAACATATATAGCATTGAGGGGACCAATTCCCTGACTGCCAACATATTAAAAACAAACTTCGATTAATTGACTGTTAAATGCAGAAAAATCAAACAAACTTAATGAAATGCTAGTTGCAGGGGATGTATTTCCCTTTTTTTTTTGGAGAAACTATACAATGTCATGTAAAAAATAAATTTCAATTAATTGACTGAAAAATGCAGAAAACTCAGACAAATTTAATGAAAGGCTCGTTGCAGTGAACTTGTTTTCCCTTTATTTGCAGAAAATCTCTACCATTTCATAGAAAAATAAACTTCAATTAATTATCTGAGAAATACAAAAAAAGCAAACAAAATTAATGAAAGGCTCGTTGTAGGGGATGCATTCCCTTCCCTTTTTTTCATAAAATCTCTACCATTTCATAGAATTGGAAATTTTATCCGAATATCACTTAAAAATTTAAAATAATTATTTTAGCACCCTTTCTTAAATATATACCAAACTAGCGCCCTTTCTGACAAAAGTACACAAAGTCGCGTTTCACAAAACGAATCCTTTTCAAAGGCGCCTTTCTTAAATATATATACCATGTTAGAATGGTTCTCCACCCTTTTTTAGGTGATATTTGGATAAAATCGCCCAATTAATTGATTGAGAAATGCAGAAAATCATACAAACTTAATGAAAGGCTCGTTGCAGGGGATACGTTTTCCCTTCTTCTTTTTTTGTAGAGAATCTCTGTCATGTCATGTAAAAATCAAACTTCAATTAATTGACTGAGAAAGTATGGAAAATCAGACAAACTTAATGAAAGACTGGTTGTAGGAGACGCGTTTTCCCTTCTTTTTTTTGCAGAGAATCTCCGTCATTTCATAGAAAAATCAAACTTCAAAATAAGAAATGCAAAAAAATTAGACAAACTTAATGAAAGGCTCATTGTAGGGGACACGCTTTCCCCTTTTTCTATAGAATCTCTACCATGTCAGTTGAAATAATTGCGTAAGAGGTGCTTTTCAGGGTAAGCACTTTCCATTTTTTTCAGAAATTCTTTGTCATGTCACAGTGTCTCATCCAATCAAACATAATTAACGAGAATAGTTTTGTGCCTCTCAATCTCTTAAACTCTTAAATTCACAAACTCTCAAGCTCTGAACTATCAAACTCTAAAACTTTAAAACTCTCAAATTCTCAAAATAACTCTTATTTCAACTGTTGTTTATTATGATAGAGAAATCTGAGAAGATGAATTCGAAGTTATTTTCTGATCAAATCATTACATCCTTATTACCTTCAAGAGAAACATCACTATTGAGGAATTGGTAATAAAAAACTCAAAGAAGGTTCACGTTTGAAATACTAGAAGATTGTTTAAACTTGAGTACATATTTCTGACTAAAATTTTTCCTTTAACATATACAACATTCGACCTCTCAAGTGATGAAGATGCTTCTACGATGGTTTATTCTTCCAATCAAAATTCAGACTCTCTTACAAAAATGTATTCCATATTTTTTGATGTTCATACAGTTCGTGGTATGTCATTATTCTCTCACTATAGGTTACCTCAACCAGTTCATCAAGTTGACAGTCCAACTCAAACAATCTACGATGATTCCACATCATCAATGGCAAATCCACCTTTTGGTACCATTCCACCAAGTTCAATGGGGAGGCATTCATCTGCCAACTTCTTTGACCTCCATATAGAGATGTCTTCTAGTAGCAGGAGGAGACATTCATCTGCCAGCTTCTTCGACATCAATATGGATATGCCTTCGATATAACACTCAGTTCATAACCCATATAGTGACATCCCTTCAAATTCTAGACTAAGCTATTCATATGCGAACTTGTTTGGCCTAAACATCAAAATCACATAGGAACCCTCATCTCCACCAGAAGAACCTCTTCATGAGCCGGGAGCGGATGGTGCTAAGACTGGATTATTCGTTGAACTCAAATCATCGTAATTCAACATGGACTCCGATGATGATGCAGACGAAGTTCCCATAAATATGATTCAATATGAACCTCTAGCACACATGTATGAAGTTGACTATGACGCGATATACGAGCCATAATTTATGGGTATGCCTAATGTTGGAGACTATAAGAGGTATTTATCAGTCAACGATGGTGATTTATATCGTGAAATAGATTTCACATATAAAGACGAAGCAATGATGGCAATTAATAATTACAATATTCATAATTCATGTTCACTCCAGAGTCGACTGATCTACAATCGAAAAGTATATATGTTATTGTGCCCAACGTGATAACAGCTGCAACTAGATTGTTCATGTTTCAAAGAGGAAGAGAAACAACGACATAAGGGAACTAACAAAATACAATGGTCCTTATACATATTATGCACGAGGGATCAACCAGGACCATCCAAACTTGGACTCTAACGTCATTTGCCAAGCCATTATGCCCATGGTCAAAGCCAGCTCTCACATAGCTATTGCAGTGCTAATTTATGTAATACAATCTCAATATAAGTACATTATCTCCTATAGAAAAGCATGGAAGGCAAAACAAAATGCCATTATAAAACTACACAGCGAGTGGGATTCATCTTACAACAAACTACCCAATTGGTTTAACCTGCTACGAAGACTGAATCCTAGGACAATAGTTGAGTTCAAAACTCGCCATGCCTACGAGACTGATCGAGTACTTCAAGATCGATTCCAATTCTATCGTGTTTTTGGATGCATAAATGTTGTAAAATACTACAAACCAATAGTCTAAATTGATGGTATATTCTTGTATGTAAAATACAAGCAAGTTTTATTATTGGCAGTTGTCCAAGATGGTAATCGCAACATTCTTCCCATTTTCTTTTCCCTTATGGAAGGAAAATATACAAAGTCTTGGGATTTTTTCTTAAGAAATCTACGATGTCACAAGGGAACATATTTGTGTTATTTCAGACCGGGGAGCTAGGATCAAAGCAACAATGGACTCTTTGGGTCCAATGTGGAAACCCTCACACGTCCAACATCGTCTCTGTATCTGACATATTGCTGCAAACTACCATGGAAAATACAAGAAGAATGATAAAAGACAATTAATTATACGCATGGGTACGTTATTTTTTTTAATTTGTTTATCAATCATTTTCATCTTATCTATTACTGTATCACGCTAGCTAGTACATATGGCAACGTAGATTACGAACTCTTGCCTCAAAGGTTCGAGGATATGCTTCAGGAATTATGAGGATAAAAATGAGTATGGATACAATTACATCAGTGAAATCAACAAAGAAAAGTGGACAAATACATACGATGGTGGATATCGATATGGATATCGATATGGATACAACTCCAATTTTGGACATTTCATGATATACTTGGAGACTAGGTTGTCACAAAGTTATTGTTGAAACTGATTACGGCGAGATGTTTAACTTTTATCTATGGTGACAACTAGAGATATGAACAACACAAATGTGGACATGATTAAGGGAAGCAAACTCGTTGGCAAACATGCTTGCAGGAATGGTTCGAGGCTCACCTGTCTAATTACACAAGAAGCAATTGGAAGCTGAATTTTTTTCTATTAGTTTCAGTTATTTAGGAAAAAAAGACGATAATATTAAGAAAGTTGAGAGATCAAACATACTTGAATATTCAGTATCTTTTAATTTATTGTTGATTTCATATTTCATAAATTAATAATTGATATGATTGGTTATGTGGATTAAATCGAATGAATAACTGTGGTGGTATGTGGATGTGTTGTTGAGTAGGTATGTGTTATGCAATTAATTGCTCAATAACATAAATTGGAAGCACTCAAGCTGAATGTTCATTGAAGAATAAAACAATTACAACGATAGAGAATAATAAGAAGAGAAAACTAGAAGAGAGAGGATAACAGTTTATCACAATATCCATACCCTTTTCCTCTACCCTCTATTGCATATATAATAACCAGCTAAACAACTAAACCCGATCAACAAAGCCTTGGGATATCTCCTCGTATGTGTACTATTACCCATCACGTGCTGCCGACTTGGCCATGGTGGTTGTGTATGTTACTTTAACATAGGTTGCCTTTGGGTCATAACAATACCCCCGCTTGAAGAGAACCTTATCCTCAAGGTTTGTAGGAGATATCAAACTTATTTTGTTCCCAGCAAAGACAGTGAAGTAACTTGTTGATGAATATGGCGACATAGCTTTAATCATGGACTCCAGTAATTTAAATTTCTCATCTGCTTCTCGAAATTGGGTTGGAGTAACAATTCCTATATCCGGGACTATACCATTAATGCGAGTTAGGAAACACATCCGAGCAACTGCGCGAGTCTGCCTTTGGAAATCATTGAAGTCAAAATATGCATTTCTTAACTTCTTTTGCAAATCTTCAACATATTCTTGGCACATAACTCCTTGTGCCTTCTCAACCAATGAGAGAACATATCCAATTTTCAAGAGGTATCCAACCGTTCGATCAAGATAAAATTGTTTAAGGTCCTCCATGTACTCTCTATGATCTACAAGTTTGATTGGTTTCCTGAACACCTCATTATTGCTCAAAGTTGCACCATCTCTAGAACCTCCATCTAGCTTTGTTAGAATGACACGCGTACTCTATCTCAACATTGAATATTGTAACCAATGTAACAGCTTTTTGGTGAGTCATTCTATTCACAACTAGTAAAACTTTTATAGGGTTCAATAGTTTCTTCATTTCTTGCAACCCATCCATGGTTTCTTTATTTATCCGGAGCTATCTTGTAGTGTTCATTATCACAACATCTTTGACGAAATAGTCTAATTTCGAAGGCATTAATACCGAAGGTGTTTCTAAAGATATTACTTGATAGAATTCTGCTATGACATTAGTGTCGTTCATTAGTCGTAAATCTAGACGGTCAGTTTGAGCAACCTCACAAATACCATAGGACTCCAATAATATCTGCAGTGCAATCAACTTGTCTAGATCTCCCATCAACTCTAGAGTGATTAAGTGATCAGAAACATTCACAAATGTGGCTCTAAATATGTCGGTAATGTCAATGATATCACGTCAAGCAATAGAATTCACAATAATCTTTATCAACATCAATTCACGTTCAGCAAAAGGCAAATAGATAAGATCTTGTACCTTATGAATATCCACAAGATTATAGGATTACTGCACCAACTTCATAATTAATTGATTTGTATCGAGGACAGCCGTTGTCATGCGAGAGAGCCTCTCTGTTTCAATATGCCCAACTGTCAAACTTTGAAGATTGTAATTTCTTCAAGCAAAAACCCTGTAACATTGATGAGAAATCTGAAATGATTATTTACACTCATGGATAAAGTGTGGAACTGAAGTTCACTTGTGTAATGCTTGAAACCCTCATTGTCCAAAACTAACTTGTTTTGCATTTTCAACAAGTAATTAACCCAAATAAAATTGTCAATGTCCTCTGGTGGGTTACAACAATAGCAATATCTTGACAAAACGTTTCCAACAATTTCTAATAAATGATTAGCCACAAACTTACCACAAGAATATGTAGTAGGTAATCCAACCATTTTTACAAGCTCCCTAACTCCGTTATCTTTAACAACATTAATTACTACTGTAAGAAAGGAGTTAAATCTCCAGAATATATTTGAAGCCTCCAAAGAATGAACCATCTAGAAATGAAGGTGACATAATTTTTATCTAAACTTCTAATAAGATGATCCATAGATATTCCCATCAGCAAAAGCCGAAAACGATAAGGATCATCGAACTTAACAAACTCTTTTACATGTGTAAACATTATGGAATACATGTTTTTTTTTTTATTTGTCCAAACAACAACTAATAGCAGGGAAGACACAATAGATGATTCCTTATATGAAATATTCTTTCCATGAAATTGATAACAATTATGAACGTGCAATACATATAATGTCAAGGAGGTCTTTGCTACACATTCAATATTCTGAATATCCAATTCAAATATAGAGTAAAGACACTTATTATCATTAAAAGGATTATTCGTTCCCAATAAATTTGTAGTCCGAATCTCATCTCCAAAATCACCCGACAGTTACTAATTTGATTAAATAGTCTTATCTTCAATATGTTTTTTCGTTGATTCAGAGGTGTTGGAAGAAGCCGCTTTCATAGTTTCAATATTTGAAAAATCAACTCCTTGCTATCATGAATCAATTGATAGCCAATATGAAAAATTTTCGATGTTGACAATTCATCAGACACATGGGTGGTTTTTGTGTTTGGTATGTCTTGATTAATGCACACAAAACCAGCTCCCTTACTACTCTGAGTAAACTGATTGCCAATGTCAAAACCTTTTGGTGTTGACAATTCGTCGAACACCTGGAGGCTTTATGTTTAAATTGTTTTCCTTTGTAACACATTCTCATGATCCCTCAATCTCATAACGAGGCTTGAATGTTTGCCCCAACTTTGTTGAGATTGATGTAGAACATGATCGGCGGTGACGGAAGAGATTATCTTGTAATTCTGTTTCTGAGGAAATAAATCGCTTTCGAATGGCATCAACAAAATGGTGCCATCCGACCAACTGTTGCCATCTTTGCATCCACGAAACCATTTTTTAGCTTTCCCTTCCATTTGAAAAGATGCCATTGTGTCGACACCGTTTTTCGCCCCGGCGGAAAAAATTTAGAACGACATGGGGTTTTCTTTTGAAAAGGTTTCGAAATATTTTGGAGTCACCATAGATCTTTTGAGTTAGGTAGGTCGAATACCTAAAAATTTTCTTTTAAAAGTATTTTAAGAAAACATTATTTTAAAAGATAAATTAGTCTGCATGTAACCAGTGATTTATTATTTTTGAAATAAAAAGGGGTTCGGGGATCGATTACGTGTGGGGAAGGATAAGCACCCCCATAACGCCCAAAATTGATACCCATCGATTATAAATTGTCTCTAATAGTGGAAATCTAAGAATTCGAATATAAATTTAAATTACGATTCTATTATTCCCATTTCAAGCATACAATTTTTATTTAACGTTAAATTCTACAGAGGAATAGAAAGTATTCTAATATTTTCAATCGAAGAGAAGATAATCCCTAAAATACTTTAGGACGAATATTTATCTTTCCAACTGAAATAAAAAAATATAATAATTTCTACCAAGAACTCAATTAAAATAATGTGATTCAACCAAAATGAATAAAACTAAAGTAGGCATATTCACAAATTTTAGGTTTTTCTAAATAAAGTATTTATTTATTTTAAAATATCAGAATAAGACATCTAGTTACTTTAAGACCGTCACTTCTTAATATTTTAAAATAAATAAATACTACCCTTAATCCAATTATGAAATCGATTGTGCTATGCTTATGAACCTTTCATACATATTCGAAATATTTAGATTTATATGCACAAACAAATTTACATGACAAAAGTTATAAATTAAAAATACTAATTAGAAATAATAAATAAAAATTAAAGCAAAGATAAAAATTAAATGTTATTCAATGATGGAAATAAAATTTGACCAGATTAACAAGTGCATACTTTAAAGTATAAATTTTATGTTAAATAAGCAAACAAAATATAATTACTAAAATGAAGATTACAAAAATTAAAGTGCTAAAGAAAATAAAGTACCTAAGTTAAAAAAACATAAAATTGTACATTCATAGGAATTATAAATATTAAAATATAAAGCATATGTATCACTTAAAATACATATTACATATTTTACAAGTAAAATATAACGTATAATACATTACACCACAACTAGGGACTAAAATAGAATATTACAAATTACAATAGCCAAATCAAAAATAAAAAAAGTGATTAAAATGAATAAATTATAAATATTACATCCACATCATAATAACATAAGAAACAAAATCCCAACAGTGGCTAAAATGAATAAACATAAAAAACAGTGACTAAATTCAAAAATTAATAAAATTAATATACATATTATAAATAAATAACAAAGTTAATAACAGAGTGCAAAAGAAATTAAAATATGAGGAGCTTAAAGATGATTTTACCCTGATAGTGACCAAAACGTAAAACATGTTGAAACTGGAGGATCTGGACTGCGATTTAACCCTGAAACACAAAGCAAAAAAAAGCTAGAATATGAGGACCTAGTGAGTGATTTACCCATTTTTCATACAAATAAAATATTAACCCCATGTTTACGTGAACCAGGCAAAAGCTTTCCAAAGCTTCCATAAGCGCTTCGGCCGCCACTCACCGGCCCTCACATGCTGGAAACCGGGCCGATACCGATGACCTCGACCACGACGGAGGAGAGCCGGTCAGACCCCTTGATCGGCCAAAATCTTCCCCGTTCTCCTCCTAACCTCATTCTTTCTCCTCCCTTACTCCTCCCCATTCGGCGGTCGAGAGGGCTCAAAACCGAGCCTCAACGACAGCCACCACTAACCGACGTCTCATGGCCGTGAGATGGCCTCTCTCTCGCACACCGGCCACCACTCAACAGTGGCCAACGTTATGTAACACGAGAACCCCAAAAAATAAAGAAAAAACCAGGAGAAAAAAAAGCAAAAACAATAAACCAAAAGAAAGTTAGAGAGAACCTCTTTTCATTCCATATTTTTCGGGGAAAAGCCTCCCTTTTACAAGGGTTAGTTGGGGTATTAATAACCCCAACCACCCTTTATTATAATATATTTTTTACATAATAAAATAAAATGAAAAAATGGTTTTTACAACTGCCCCTCTTTGCTCAATAATGTGGAACAAGAATAGAGCAAAGATAGTAAACACCATTTTTTTATCTGGCCTAAACTGCTAAAATCTTGAGCTCCAATTTCTTCTGATCGGATGAGTTCTTCTCATTATGAACTCTTTGTTGGGATGTCAATCCACTATCTTCTGTGATGGAATTACCAAGGTTGAACAAGTTCTTCTCATTATGAACTTCTTCTCCCACATCAGATGAGTTCTTCTCATTATGAACTCTCCACTGGAAATGTTGATCCACCTTCTTCTGTGATGATTGAGCCAAGGTGATACTGATCCAACTCCTTATGTGATGGACTAGTGAAATGATTAGGTTGTTCTAACTCCTTATGTGATGGACGAGAAAAAAGTCGGTGATGTTCCAACTCCTTATGCTATGGAAACAAGCTAAGGTTGAACAAGTTTTTCTAAGGTTGAAAAATTTCTTCTCATTATGAACTTTTTCTCCCTTATCAGATGAGTTCTTCTCATTATGAACTCTCTACTGGAAATGTTGGTCCCTTGAGTGAGGTGTTGCTGATTCAATTCCATATGCGATGAATCGAGCTAAGGTTGAACAAGTTCTTCTCATTGTGAACTTCTTCTCCCTCATCGGATGAGTTCTTCTTATTATGAACTCTCCACTGAAAATTTTGATCCCTCAAGTGAGGTGTTACTGATTCAACTCCATATGTGATGAGTAGAGTTAAGGTTGAACAAGTTCTTCTCATTATGAACTTCTTCTCCCTCATCGGATGAGTTCTTCTCATTATGAACTCTCCACTGGAAATGTTGACTGATTTACCTTTCTTTGAAGAGTTTTAAACCTGCAAAAGATTATCATATGTCATTAATAATTATGTTTGAAGTACCTGAAGGTATTGACCCAAAGGTCCTCGAATCATTGTTGAGATCCACATTTTCAAAGATTGAAAAGTGGACTAATTCTTTGCTGGAATCTTTTTCTTCAACATGGAATTGTGAAAAGAAATCTTTGTTATCCTTTTTTTTACTTCCTGTCAAATATTCAACATTTTTGAGGGAAATAAATGAATCAAAAGAAATTTGTTTGAAGAGAAACTATATCAGGTGAGATAAAATTTGTTTCGAGGGGAACTGTCTCTAGTGAGACGAAGTTTGTTTTAAGAAAAACAATCTCAAGTGAGATAAATTTCTTGTTTCAAGTGAAACAATTTCAAAATTTATATTTCAAGGGAAACTTTCTCAAGCGAGATGAAATTTTTTTTAAGAAAACAATC